GGGGGAGTATTGTAAACAAGTGGAATTTACCACTATCTTATCATTTCATTATTATAATAATATGTATATAGGTATGTGTGCCAATTAGCCTATAAAAAGGCTAGAGGTGTAATGCAAAAGTTGTACGAAAGTGAAGTGAAAGTGAGGAAGAAAGAATAGCATTCTGAAATTTTGATCCGGTTTTTATACATTGTGTTCTTTATATTCCCTGTATTTCATAACAGATATTAATTTGTCATGTATTTTATAAATAAATATGTATAAGTTTTATAATCTATTTAATATTATAAAACGAAATGAATACATTTGTCTCTTGATTTTTACATATTATTGTATTATTAATGTGAGCTCATTTTTATATGAAATTAATTTTGTTAAATATAATTTAAGTAAGTTATATGTTTCATTATATAAGTATAATAATCTTACAATATTTAAAAAAAAAAAAAAAAAAAAATAATGAAGGAATTCCTGTGACTTCACATGTTACTTTCAACAGTGGATAATGTTATATGTATTGAGATAATCAAGCCTCTTCACAAATTGTTATTATATATAATTTATTATATAGCCGCCCCACAAACTAAAGAGAATATTCTGAGTATCAAAGTAATATAATTTATAAGCACATTATGCTAACAAGAAAATTTCATGTTTGTCATTTTACAAATACATTATTATAAAATTGACAGTAATCATTAATAGTTGGACTAGTTTGTGTACCCCACTTGTTTACCAAATAAATTTTCAATTGATATATTAATTGGATCCGTACTAGTTTGTGTAGCCCACTTGTTGACAATATGAATTTCAAGTTAGATACTAATTAGATCCAAATGTGTTTATACGAGGTTTTGTATGAATACTCATTGGAGACTTAATAAAATAAATAAATCTGCAACTTAGATGGAGACGAGGTTGCGTTGTCCTTTCTGATAAGTATGATCGTTTGACATCATTGTTTAATTAATTTATTCATTTTATTTTATCATAATATTATTTGCATATTAGATTTGGCAGGTAATTTTTATTTATTTTTCTTTAGGAATTTTAAGAGTCCTATTTAAAAGACTCATATTTTACGGGTTTAGTTGTTTGATTCTGACTGCATAAGAATTATATACGAGGTTCCTCAATGGGATTTATCTCAACTATCTCTTGTGTTTACTCGTTCGCTACGTCAATTAGCATCAGCTAACCAGTACGATTCCTATGTGATGCAGCCCAAACGGAACAATGCCGGAGACGACAAGC